TCCCTCCCTCCCTCCCTCCCTCTCTTTCTCTCAAACTGGAGAGCCAGTTTGGTGTAGTGGTTAAGTGTACGGACTCTAATCTGGGAGAACCGAGTTTGATTCCCCCACTCCTCCACTTGCACCTGCTGATGTGACCTTGGGTCAGTCACAAGCTCTGGCACAGCTGTTCCTGAAAGAGCCGTTTCTATCAGAGCTCTCTCAGCCCCGCCTACCTCACAGGGTGTCTGTTGTGGGGAGGGGAAGGGAAAGGAGATCGTAGGCTGCTCTGAGACTCCTTTGGGTAGTGAAGGGCGGGGTATAAATCCAATCTCTTCTTCTGCTGCTGATGTGACCTTGGGTCAGTCACAAGTTCTCTCAGAGCTGTTCTCTCAAGGGCAGTTTCTCTCAGAGCTCTCTCAGCCCCACCGACCTCACAGGGTGTCTGTTGTGGAGAGGGGAAGGGAAAGGAGATTGTAAGCTGCTTTGAGACACATGAAGCCAGCTGGGTGACCTTGCATCAGTCTCAGCCCCACCGACCTCACAGGGTGTCTGTTGTGGGGAGGGGAAGGAGTTTGTCAGCCGCTCTGACATTCCAAGTGAAATGCGGGGTATAAATCCAATCTCTTCTTCTTCTCTCTCCCCCCTTCCCAGAGAACGGCGAATGGGAGATCGTCCACCGTCCCGCCCGTAAAAATATCGACCCGAACTTCCCTCCCGAGAGCAACAAGCACCAGGACATCACCTTCTACCTCATCATCAAGCGCAAGCCCCTCTTCTACATCATCAACATTGTCACGCCCTGCATCCTCATCGCCTTCATGACCATCCTGGTCTTTTACCTGCCTGCCGACAGTAAGCAAAAGGGCTTCCCTGCCGCTCCCAGGCACCCTTCACCTTTGTGTCACCCTTCTGAGACAGTTGAAGACTGTATGGGCCCAAACGACACGTTTGGGTTTTTAACAAGTCGGTTACCCACGGCCACACAGGTTACCCGTGGCCTCACAGCAGCCCTGGGGAATGGCTTTTTAAAAAAGAAAGGAAAGCCCAAAATGAACTCGGAAGGCTCCTGGCCTCCCCTCCCAAGCTGTTTTCCTGAGTGGAAACAGCCCCACAGGGGGAGTTATTTCCCATGTGCACAGAATACTCCAGACCCAGCTTATTTAAAACTGGAACATGTATATTGGCCCACAGGCATCCCCTCTCCCCAATTCTAGAAGAAGAAGAAGAAGAAGAAGAGATTGGATTTATACCCCGCCCTTCACTCGGAGTCTCAGAGCAGCTTACAAACTCCTTTCCCTTCCCCTCCCCACAACAGGCACCCTGTGAGGTGGGTGGGGCTGAGAGAGCTCTGACACAAACTGCTCTTTCAGGAACAGTTCTTGTCAGAACCATGGCTTGCCCAAGGTCATCCAGCAGCTGCGACTGGAGGAGTGGGGAATCAAACCCAGTTCTCCCAGATTAGAGTCTGCACACTTAACCACCACACCAGAGCTTGTGACTGACCCAAGGTCACACCAGCAGGTGCAAGTGGAGGAGTGGGGAATCAAACCCAGTTCTCCCAGATTAGAGTCCACACACTTAACCACGACCCCAAACTGGCTCTACCCCGTCAGCCTCTATCCCTCCAGCCTCTGCGTAAGGGCTCAATTATATATCATAGTTTCCATATTCATTTTGAATGCCTTTTTCCCCCTTTGAAAACAGAGCCTCCGGGGACTGCTTTGTCAAGGAGAGGAGCTCTATTGGCGAGAGGGAGGAAAGGGAGGGAAACTTTAACCCTTTCCTCCTTGGCCGTTTTCTTGCTGGGAAATGTTCCCCTCCCCCGGAGTTCCTTTTTTTCCTCCTGCCGGAGACAACTTACATGTAACCAGGGGTCATTTCCTGCGGGAGCACACAGGAGCAGAGCTCCGGCAGTAAGGAGCCCAGGGGGCGGGCACATGCAACAAGCTCCACCCCCTGTTCCCAGCAGCCCTCAGTCGGGCCACGAGGAGCAAGAAGCAGCCAGGTAAGTTGCAGAACCCCCCCCCAGCCCACCTTCAGGTACAAGCTCTCTCTCCTCTGTGAATGCAGATCTGCACACACACACACCCCAGCTAGCAATCCAAAACAGTCCAGTGGCACCTTTAAGACCAAGTTTTATTCAGGCACAAGCTCTCCCTCCTCTGTGAGGGCAGATCTGCACGTTCCCCCCCCCAATAGCTAGCAATCCAAAACAGTCCAGTGGCACCTTTAAGATCAGGTTTTATTCAGGTACAAGCTCTCCCTCCTCTGTGAGGACAGATCTGCATATTCCCCCCCCCCAATAGCTAGCAATCCAAAACAGTCCAGTGGCACCTTTAAGACCAAGTTTGATTCAGGTACAAGCTCTCCTTCCTCTGCGAGGACATATCTGCACGTCCCCCCCCCAATAGCTAGCAATCCAAAACAGTCCAGTGGAGCCTGAGCGGTGGGTGTTGCCTTCTGACATACTTCCGGTGATGTCAGGGGGTGTGGCATATGCAAATAAATTATGCTAATGAGCTATGCTAATGAGCTCCTGCACCTCTTTTTCTATGAAAGGACCCCTGCATGTAACAATTCAGGGCTGGCAACCCGACTATGGACTAACACGGCTACCCACCTGAAACCGGTAACCAGACCAAGGGACTGAATATTGTGAGCAGGAGCAGAGGTCAATCCGTAGAAAAAGAGGTGCAGGAGCTCATTAGCACAACTCATTAGCACAACTTATTTGCATATGCCACACACCCTGACATCACTGGAAGTGTGTCAGAAGGCAACACCCACCGCTCAGGCTCCACTGGACTCTTTTGGATTGCTAGCTATTGGGGAGGGGAGGAACATGCAGATCTGTCCTCGCAGAGGAGGGAGAGCTTGTACCCGAATAAAACTTGGTCTTAAAGGTGCCACTGGACTGTTTTGGGCCGGGGGGCTGGGCGAGAGACTCTGCAGCTTACCTGGCTGCTTCTTGCTCTGACCGAGGGCCGCTGGGAGCAGGGGGTGGGGCTTGTTGCATGTGCCCGCCCCCCTGGGCTCTTTACTGCCGGAGCTCCGCTCCTGTGCGCTCCTGCAGGAAATGACCCCTGGGCAGGAGGCTGGGTCTTGAGGGGCCGGCCGGCGACCACCTTGCTGCCCTGCATACCAGAAGCGTCTCTGTCCTTTTGTGCCTTGCAGGTGGAGAGAAGGTCACCCTAGCCATCTCCGTGCTGCTGGCCCAGTCCGTCTTCCTGCTGCTGATCTCCCAGCGTCTGCCGGCCACCTCCCTCGCGATCCCGCTCATCGGCAAGTGAGTCTTCCTTTGCCAGTTTGGTGTGGCAGTTAAGAGCGGGGACTCTAACCTGGGAGAACCGGGTTTGGTTCCCCCAAGCCTTCGCATGCAGCTCCTGGCATGACCTTGGGTGCCCAAATCAGGCTGACATGCCTGGTGTGATGACATCATCTGGAGGTAAAGTCATCATGCTGGGCATGTTGTCGGATGCTCTAGCATTTGGCATGAACTCTATGGTACCATAGAGTTTTAAAGCCGAACGCTGGAGTATCTCTTGGCGGTGTGCCCGGTGCGATGACGGTACTTCTGGGTGACATCGTCACGACATGTACCAGGCTCCCGGACGCGGAGCTCCCAACCCCCCCTGGATGCCAGATAGGGACCTGGCAACCCTACCAGAGGAACTGGCTGGCCACTCTGTGCGACAGGATGCTGGACCAGATGGACCCATACTGGTCTGACCCAGCAGGGCTCTTCTGATGTTCTTATTAAGGGCTCGGCTTCTGTGCCCTGCTGTTGGCCCTCCAGAGGAACTGGTTGGCCACTGTGTGAGACAGGATGCTGGACTACGTGGACCACTGGTCCGATCCATCAGGGCTCTTCTGATGTTCTTATGAAGGCCTCGGCCTCTATGCCCTATTGTTGGCCCTCCAAAGGAACTGGTTGGCCACTGTGTGAGACACGATGCTGGACCAGATGGACCCATACTGGCCTGATCCAGCAGGGCTCTTCTGATGTTCTTATGAAGGCCTCGGTCTCTATGCCCTATTGTTGGCCCTCCAAAGGAACTGGCTGTACACTGTGTGAGACAGGATGCTGGACTACAGGGGCCACTGGTCCGATCCAGCAGGGCTCTTCTGATGTTCTTATGAAGGCCTCAGCTTCTGTGCCCTGCTGTTGGCCCACCAGAGGAACTGGCTTGGCCACTGTGTGAGACAGGATGCCGGACTAGATGGACCACTGGTCTGATCCAGCAGGGCTCTTCTGATGTTCTTAGGAAGGCCTCGGCCTCTCTGCCCTGTTGTTGGACGGGGGAACTGGCTGGCCACTGTGTGAGACAGGATGCTGGACTGGATGGACCACTGGTCTGACCCAGCAGGGCTCTTCTGATGTCCTTATGAAGGCCTCGGCCTCTAGGCCCTGTTGTTGGCCCTCCAGAGGAACTGGCTTGGCCACTGTGGGAGACAGGATGCTGGCCTACAGGGGCCACTGGTCTGATCCAGCAGGGCTCTTCTTACGTTCTTTAAGTAGGAATGCTGGGGATTGAACCTGGGACCTTCTGCATGTCAAGTAGATGTTCCACCACTGAGCTGCAGCCCCACTGCCACTGAGTTATGTCCCTTTCCGCTCGGCAGGTACCTGCTCTTCATCATGTTGCTCGTGACTGCCGTCGTGGTGGCCTGCGTTGTGGAGCTCAACATCCACTTCCGCACCCCCAGCACCCACATCCTTTCCGACTGGACCAAAGAGGTGAGCTCCGAAGGTCAGATGGAAGGGAACGGATCAAACGGGAGACCCAAAATTGTGCACGGGGGCCTGGTTGTATGTCAAGAGCGAAAGCCACCGTCCTGCAAGGAGGGCACGCAATCTCATCTCAGTTGGGATTTTGAGAGATCTCCAGGTCCCACCTGGAGGCTGGCAACCCTACCGAGCACTGTGATACGGATCCTCCCCTTCAGCTTAGATCCACCATGTCAAGCAGTCCCGGTCCTCCGTGATTTGTCCCAGAGTGAAGCACATTTTGCACTAAGGACACCACGAGATAAGTTTTCATATGCATGCACACTTCTTCAGATACGCTGAAACATTTTTCCTCAAGCCTCTCTATCTATATGGATGGCTCCTTTGCCAGGCCGTGGGCATTAGGAGCTACCCTACTATGCCTACATCAGGGCATAGGGGCCAAGGCCGTCATAAGAACATCAGACAAGCCCTGCTGGATCAGACCAGTGGCCCATCTGGTCCAGCATCATGTCTCACACAGGGGCCAACCGGTTCCTCTGGAGGGCCAACAACAGGGCAGAGAGGCCGAGGCCTTCATAAGAACCTCAGAAGTGCTCTGCTGGATCAGACCAGTGGTCCATCTAGTCCAGCATCCTGTCTCACACTGTGGCCAAGCAGTTCCTCTGGAGGGCCAACAACAGGGCACAGAGGTCAAGGCCTTCGTAAGAACCTCAGAAGAGCCCTGCTGGATCAGACCAGTGGTCCATCTCGTCCAGCATCCTTTCTGACACAGTGGCCAACCAGTTCCTCTGGAGGGTCAAAACAGGGCAAAGAGGCCGAAGCCTTCGTAAGGACATCAGAAGAGCCCTGCTGGATCAGACCAGTGGCCCATCTAGTCCAGCATCCTGCCTCACGCAGTGGCTAACCATAGAATCATAGAATGTTAGAGTTGGAAGGGACCTTGCAGGTCATCTAGTCCAACCCCCTGATTAAACCTAGAACAGCAGGTCCTCTGGTTTCCACCTCCACCTTCTGAGAGATGAAGTTGTTTGCAAGACTATTCAAGAATCTGCAGGATGCCCCATGTCTAGCAGAGTTAGATTTCGAGCAAATATCTGGACAGTTGAAATCTCCCATAACCACTACATTCTGTCTCTGTGAAAGTTTAGCAAGCTGTTGTACAAATGCATCATCCAGTTCCTCTGGTTGGTTTGGAGGTCTGTAGTATACCCCCACAACAATTTCCCCTTCCCCCCCCCGCTCTATCCTTACCCACACACTTTCAACAGGGCAACTCTCAAAATCCTGAATTTCAGTGCAAGCGTATTCATTCTTAACATATAGTGCCATCCTGCCTCCTTTTTTGTTTATCCTGTTCCGTTTAAACAAGGTAGTTCCTGTGCAGGGCCAACAACAGGGCATGGAGGCTGAGGCCATTTTCTGATGTTGCCTCCCGGCTCTGGGATCCAGAGGCTTAGTGCCTGTGAATGTGGAGGTCCCCCTCAGTCACTGTGGCTAGTAGCCATTGACAGACTTATCCTCCATGAATCTGTCGAATCCCCTTTGAAAGCTGTTTATTCCTGTGGCCATCACTGCATTCTAGAGTTGCCAGGTCCCCTGGTTGCGCTGGTAGGGGGATTGGGGGGAGGCATTCGGGGGGTAGGGGGGACATTGTGCGACGCGCAGTCAGGGCTCTTTTTGTAGCAGGAACTCCTTTGCATATTAGGCCACACCCCCCCTAATGTAGCCAATCCTCCAAGAGCTTACAGAGCTCTTCTTACAGGAGCTACTGCAAGCTCTTGGAGGATTTATTTTTTTATTTCATTTATTTCATTCAACTTTCTATTCCGCTCACCCCCCCCCTCCCCGGGGCTCTGAGCGGCTTACGATTCTAATTCCAAACGATCCTAATCTAGGGCCACATGTATGTCGGGAAAGTGAGGTTCCTACCAGGCACCCTGTTCTGTAGCAGATCTTCTACCTTGCGAGGGGACAGTCCTGGCGGCGACCCTTCTTCGGCGCTGGTCTTCGTTGTTTCACCTCTCAGGCTGTCGTAACTCCGCCTCCAGGCCAGGATTGGCTACATTAGGGGGGTGTCGCTTAATATGCAAATGAGTACCTTCTACATAAAGAGCCCTGGACGCGCTGATGTCACCCAGAAGTGACATCAGCACGCCAGCAATGTTGGGGGTGATGCTCTGCTTTTGGGGCAAACTCTATGGTGAAAATGGCTTCAAACCGTAGAGTTTTGCCCCCAAAGCAGAGCGTTACCCCATGATGTCACTGATGTGCTGACATCACGTTCGGATAACACTGGGTAGGGGAGATTTCTCCTCGTCGGCCAGCTAGCCGGTGGTGGGCAGGAGCCCGCGAAAGCAGGGGATCCCTCGCCTCCACCTGGGGAATCGGAATCCTACTACGTCCTCTGGCAGTGAATCCAGACAGAAGAGAAAACCTTTATTGGCATAACACAGGTAACCAGAACAAAGGCAAAATTTAAGGGATAGTACTAAAACAACGTCAACCAATATTCCCATTATCTTAAAATACAAAGCAATCCTAACATGGTTTACGAGATTTACAGAGTACTACTCTTGACTTCCATACATAAGTCAAAAATTCAGCAACAGATAGTGTTATTGCTGGACTCTTGTCTGCTAGAAAGAAATTTAAATCCCTATCCAGAAAATCTCTCTGCACAGGGAGAAGGGGGCAAATCAAAACATTGCGCATAGCGAAATATTTAGGACAGCGAAAGAGAGTATGGGTGATAGAATCAGGTTCCCCAAGATTACAGTTACAAAGTCTATCCTTGTACGGCACACCCCTGTATCTACCGGAGACCACTACTGAGGGGAAAAGGTTGAACCTTGCAAGCATAAAAACCCTCCTAAAAACTGGAATTGTCAAATTAGCGATATATGGTACCATGGAGGTATGCAAGGGGAGGAGGGGTAATGAATAGGGAGAACAAACTCCAAGACTACCGGCATGAATGATCTGCGCCTCTATATCCCAAATTCTCCTCCTTACCACCTGCAAGATTGCTACCTCACCACACTTATAGTGGGGTTCCAGATCAATACCTAGGGTACCCACCTTTTTCACTATGGCCTGTGACCACTCTGATGTATAAGGGTCAGCTAAAAGTTGGACCATTAGGCTAACAGGAGGAGATCGAAAATGGAGCCGAAGCCAATATTTGATCGTAATGATCCAAGCCCGAGATTCTACCCCACATTTCAATCCCTCTCCGCGTAGAGCGCTTCCCCCTTAACCCTCTCCCTGCTCTGCAGCTGTTCCTCGAGACCCTGCCCCGCCTCTTGCACATGTCGCAGCCCTCCGAGAGCGAGCCGGAGGCGAAGGAGGGCCTGCTGATTCGGCGCAGCAGCTCCGTCGGCTATATCATCAAGGCCGAGGAATACTTCACCGTCAAGTCCCGCAGCGAGCTGATGTTTGAGAAGCAGTCCGAGAGGCACGGATTGGCCAGCCGGGTCACCCCTGCAAGTGAGCTTTGGAGCGGATGCGAGCCGGCGTGGGACCGGCGGGGTGGTGGTGGTGGTGGTGTAAGGAAGAGGTGCCCTGCAGTGTTCCCTCTGAGCTGAGTTAGTGTGAGCCAGCTCACAGTTTTCCAGCCTCCGGCTCGCGGGTTTTTGTCTTCGCTCAGGAAGGGGTGGCTCCAGAGCAAACTAATTGACGCAGTAGCCCAATCGCTCGCTCGCTACTTTAATGCCAGGAGTTCACAAAGGGGAATTTTGGCTCACAGGACCCCACCGCTTAGAGGGAGCATTGGTGCCCTGTTTTCCAGCGAGTTCCACCCCACCTTGAGCTATAGGGTTGCCAAATCGGGCTGGGGGGCGGGGAACCCCCCGCTTCCGCGGCCCGATTTCCGGCGCAGGGGAATTCCGGCCCGGGGGGAACCCCGCCCCCCAAGCTGCGTCACCAGAGGTGACGCAGCCACGTTGCCGACGTTGGGGGCGTGGCTGAGCTCGTCGGAGGGGAAAACCATATGGTTTTCCCCTCCGACGAGCTCAACCATGCCCCCAAAGTCAGCACGTTGCCCGTCACTTCCGGCGACGTGCTGCCGGCGCGCGCGCACACGTCCACCCGACTCCCGGATTGCGGCGACGCTCCCCCGCCACGGGGGGAAGAAGTTTTGACAACCCTATTGAGCTATGAGTGGCAAAGAGGCCACCAGTGCTTTTTTTGTAGAAAAAGCCCAGCAGGAACTCATTAGCATAATAGGCCACACCCAACAGCAGAAAATTATTAGCATGTTAGGCCACACCCTTGACAGCACCGCTCATTAGCATGTTAGGCCACACCCCCATGCAAGTCGGCCCTCGGACAGGCCGGGGAAGGCACGGGGAGGCATTTAAATGCCTCTTCGATCCTTCCAGGGCCCCCCTGGCCTGCCTGCCTCTGAGTCGCCGGGTGGGGTCGCTCTCCAGGCCTTCCCTCTATAGCCAGGCACACAGAGGTCTTGGCTGTAGTGGGCGTGGCCAACTCTGAAGCCAGCCGGAACTCCGTTCCTGTGCGCTCCGGCCCAGAAATAGCCCTGGAGGCCACTACCCAAAGTGGGTAGACTGTTCTCACTGGGCGCAGAACACCTGGGGAGATCAGAGGGGGCGTGAGTGAATTCTCAGCTCGCAGGCCTGGCACTTGCGGGGTAAGGGGATCCACTGAGGGTCTTGGCCTGTGTTCCGCCCACCCCCAATCCCGGTGCTCACACTTCTGGAGACCCAGACGCTTTGGCTGTTCCCCTCCCACTGGCCGTCCTCAGCCTGGATGCACACAAAGCGGCCTGACAGTGAATCAGGTGAGCATCCGTCCGTCAAGCTCAGGATTGTCCATTCAGGCTGGGAGCAGCTCTCCGGGGTCTCACGCTCAGGTCTTTGACATGCCTGGCCTTTTGAACTGGATATTAGAACACAAGAGAAGCCATGTTGGATCAGGCCGACGGCCCATCCAGTCCAACACTCTGGGTCACACGGTGGCCCTCCCACTGTGGTCCCCCCCCCCAAGCACCAAGATGACAGAGCATCACTGCCCCAGACATAAGAACACAAGAGAAGCCAAGTTGGATCAGGCCAGTGTCCCCTCCAGTCCAACTCTCTGTGTCACCCCCAGTGGCCAAAGCCCAGGTGCCATCAGGAGGTCCACTGGTGGGGCCAGAACTCCAGAAGACCTGCCACTCTTGCCCCCCCCCCACGAAAAAGCGACGAGCACCCACAGCCCGACAAACG